CAGTATATCTGCTTGCCTGTACAGGATGTACAGGCAAACAGATATATTGACAGGAAGATTCAATGAACTACCATCGTGCTCCACAGTGCTATGGTAGTTCAATATGAACTACAAGCCAACAGCTGATGTTGGGACTCATAGTTCTTTCATTCACAGAACAATGTGAATAAATGACACGGCCGTGTGGGCACAGCCCTGCACAGCCACACTGTTTTTTAAAAAGTGACAGCTAGTACAGGTAACCTGTTCCCGTACGTTTGTCACAGGGAGGGGGGGGCAACAGGCAGTGGCTACAGCATTGGGAACATGTTATGTATTTTACCCTAAAAAAGAGATGGAACATGTAACATGTTCCCAAAGGTGAACTTACACTTTTAGGATAGGAGTACAGGGATTAGCAGTGAGGAGGAAGACACATCCCAATTCACATATAGAAATGGCAGGGAAACAGGGCAATGTTATTATCATGGGGGACTTAACCTATCCTGATATTAATTGGGCAGACAGAATTGCACGCCTAAGTAAGGCTTGTTAATTCTTCCACATACTGCAGGACAATTTTATTGGTCATATGGTGGAAGTCCCAACTAGAAGTAATGCTCTGCTGGACTTCCTAATATCAAACAACACAGAACTGATTGCATATGTAAACGTTAGGGATAGTTCAGGTAATAGTGAACACAAGTAATTATGTTTGCAATATATTACAAGAAAAGAGAGACATGTAGGTAGGACAAGAACACTAAATCAACTTTACTGGAGTCTGGAGATAACCGTTCCTATCGTTTAACCCATCTTCATCAACACTATTGATGAGGTAACACTAGGGGGAACTCTTACAGGACTCAGTCATATTGGTGATAAGCCAGTTGTAGGGTGCATTGTCTTTGATCTGCTTTAATGATTACTTGCTCATGTTCCATTTAGGAGCTGTTTAGTATTTACACTTAGTGATGTTTGTGATTACTATTGTAGTTACCAAAGGGATTGACTGTTCACCATTAAACTTGTCTATTTGTCATGATCTGGAGTCAGGCATGGAAACCAGTAGCTATTGCAGCAATGAGGCACCCACTGACCAGCTTGTACTAACTGGTGTTCACTGGGGCTCCTGATGCTGGAGATCGGTTTAGCTACATGTTAGTACAAGGTCACAAGCCCCAGGATTGCCCCTTCAGGCAATGAACAGTCAGGGTCCATTAACAGATACAGCAGGTAGGCATAAGCAGAAGCATAGTCAATAAACAAGACAAAGGTCAGCAACGAGTGGCCACGAAGAGGAGTGACAAGAGCTAAACACTGGCCTTCTCATAGACCAATACTTCTTAAGGCTCGTGTGCCACTATCACAGAACTGATTACTATATCAGATCATTTCACAGTAACGTTAGCTCTGTCACCCCTAATGCTATTACAAGAGCGTGGACTTTGAGTCTGAACTTGCTTGCTAAAAGATCACTCTGTATTAGAATCAGCTACTTAATCTCTAAAATATTATTTTGAGATGAACGCTTCTGAGGAGGTACCTGCCAAGACTCTTTGGGAGGAGCATAAGGCCATTATACAGAGGAAGCTGATAACTCATGGCTCTAGGAGTAAAAAATAAAAAAAAACTAAGATCTCTTGGAAAAAATCAGAGCTCTTGAACAAAAGTATAAATGGTGTCTTCTGCCATTGGATGCAGAAGCATTGTTTGAATTTCACACTAAATTGTTGCAACACCTGGAAATGAACGCTATGAAAAAACTCAAATATTATGCACATAGCCTCTCTGAACATGGCAATAAATGTAGTAGCTTGCTAGACAAAATTTGGTGAATAATAAATACAAGGTAGATACTGCTAAGGCTACCCAGGAATTTAAGAATTATTATAGTATGCTACATACCTTTCAAACTTCACCTACTACACTATCTGCAGACCAGAAACGAGATCTGATAAGACAATACCAGAAAGATATTGACTTCCCTCAACTTCCTGCACAAGTATTAAAGAATTATGTGGCCCCAAGAACTGAGCTCTATATTTTTCTGCCCTTCCACCTGGCAAGAGTATGGGACCTGATGGCTTTACCAATTTATATAACAAAAAGCTATCCTCTGTACTGCTGGACCCCATGTGTACTTGAATATGACTGGTATTTCCAACCCTTTTCCCAAAGAGGAACTTGTAGCACCTACTTAATTGCTATCTAAGCCAGAGAAAGAGTCTACACTATGCTAAAATTACAGACCAATTTCTCTCTTAAATATGGACACTAAAATGTTTTCTTAGCTTTTGGCCTCTATGTTGCAGGATCATGTACCTTCCATAACCCATGCGGATCAAACGAGCTTCATAGTGGGATGACAGGCACATGATAAAACGACTACAGCCCTACATATTTTGCATTGGGCAAAACACAGCCCTGAGAAGACATCCGCTCTAATACTGTCAACAGATGCCAAGAAAGCCTTTGACAGTGTGGATTGGATGTACAGTATATGGAAGAAACTCGAAAAAAGCGTTAGGCTTAGGTGAAAGGATGTTGGGCTGGATCTTGGCTCTATATCAAAACACTGAGGCAAAACTGAAGCTCAATGATGCTCTTTCCAAATCCTTCCCTATTAAGTACAGAACTCACCAAGGATGACCCTTATCACTTTTTCTGTTTGCATTGGTATTAGAATCTCTCCTCAGGAAAATTAGGAACAATGCAGATATTAAGGGAGTTCAGATTGGTTCTCAGGAATACAAGTTGACTGTTATGTAGATGATGTCCTATTCTATATATTGCAACCACTTACCACTCTTCCAATCCTAATATGCAAATTGAAGAGATCTGGACTAAAGTCCAACTTCAAAATAAGTTATAATAAATCAGAAATCCTGCTGATCCTTATCTCCTGTAATCTTACTACTTGCGTATGACAAAGTTTTCCAATGGGTTTGACAGAAAAACATGTTTCCCAAGATAAAGAACATCTCTAGGAATTATGATGAGCTGCTTGATTTAGTGGGATGAGACCTCAAAGGCTTAGAAGGACTCCCACTAACTTAACTGGGAAGGATGTAAATGTAATCAAAATTAATATTCTGCTGTGCATTATTTATTTATTGCATACATTCCTCATAAAACTCCTTCAGCTGTTTTTCAAATACATTTGAAACTTGATTACAACCTTTGTGTGGCATAACAAAAAAAAAAACAAATTTGACAACTCTATATTATGTAGAAAGGAATCAGATGGAGATCTGAATTTATCCGATGTAGCTTTGTGTTATAAAGCAGTGCCCTTATAGTGAAAATAAAACAAAAATTAACAGCGTTGCCTATATGTCACATATAATGTAAGCGCAAAAAAAACAGCCAGATATACAGTGGGGAAAATAATTATTTGATCCCCTGCAGATTTTGTAAGCTTACCCATTTACAAAGAAATAAATGGTCTATAATTTTTACCATAGGTGTATATTAAATGATAGAGACAGAATATCAACCAGAAATCCAGAAAAAAACACATGATACAAATGTTATAAATTGAGTTGCAGTTCAGTGAGTAAAATAAGTATTTGATCCCCAAGCAAAACATGACTTAGTATTTGGTGGAGAACCCCTTGTTGGCAAGCACAGAGGTAAGACATTTCTTGTAGTTGGTTATCAGGTGTCAGGAATGGACTCGCCAATAGTGTTGGGACTCACCTGCCTTGTGGTTTGCAGTACCAGGACTGGCCAGCGGGTGCTCTCAGCAACCAGAGGCTCACTTCTGCAGTCAGCCAAAACACCTGAGGCTGATTGCAGGAGGTGCATATAAGGAATGGCCAGACTTGCAAGCAGGGCCTTGGTGTATGTTTTCCCAAGAGCCCCTGTACCTGCATCCTGTCGGCTTCCTGTCTGATCCTGCTTTATCCCTGACTCTGATTGTACTCCGCCTGTCCTGACCTCTGCTATTCCTGACCACTCTCCAGTCTGCTCCTTTGTACCTTGTCTGCCTGATTGTTCCTGACCCGGCCCGTCCGACTACGCTTAGTATTGTTCTTTTGTTATCTTTTGGGGGTTTTGGTTTGTTTTCACTGTGTTTATGTTTAGTCTTGCACTGCATTTATGTATTGTTTAGTCTTAAATAAATTATATTGTTTATACTATATCTGAAGCCTGCGTTTCCCTGTGTCAGTCCACACACCTCTGGTCATACCCGGGGCCCTGACATTACACCAAGGCCAATCCTGACCAGAAGTGGCTGCACAGGGAAGCCATCTTGGCTTATTGTTGCTGGGAAGGATGAATCTTGATGAGGTGGTGTATTTGTCTCTGCTAGTGTTTGATGACAGAGATTATGCTTATCAGATATTCTGAAGGAGTATACCCGGGATCAACTACTAGAGTGCATAAGGATCGCTCATTGCCTAGTAGATCAGGGCACAGAATTCTCTGAGGTGCAACCATCGATTCAGGTTTGTACAGAGTTGGTTTCATCTGGTACCCCCCAATGCAGGGATGAATTTTTGCCGCTATTTAGTGCCGACCAGATAGAGTCCCTGGTATGGTTACTGGAGGATGATGTGGATTACTTTCTGGAGTGTTGTTCTGCATGTTCACAACAGGTACTAAGGGATTGTATAAACGCAGTGCAGTTGTTGACCAGACAGGCTTTGTGTAAGCGGAGCTTTGTTCAACCCATACTGCAGGCATGGTCAGACTTGTTGCACCCAGCCTCAGTCGGCTTGCAACATCATTCCTCTGCTCAAGGCACTCTTCCTGCATCCCCGACAGCACCCCCAGTGACGGCCCAGTATACTCTGCTAACTACCACATACCAGTCCCCTGCTCCCACTCGCTGCACCTATCCTTTCTTTAACCCTGTAAAAAAGTCCTCTGTAGCAACTGCTCCCTCCTCTGTTCCATCCTCCCAGCTCTTCTCTGTCTTCAGCTGCTCCATTCGTTTACAGACCTGCATTTACTTACAGTGCTCCAGTAACTAAAACCAGAAAAAAGCAAAAATTCTTTCCAACCAGTACCATCCTGCCAGTATCCAAACCGGTCAGCCTGCCGTCTGAGAACCCGCCTTCCGTGGTTCAACCTGGTGCCTCGGCAACCGCAATTCAGCCTGATGTCTGTACCAGCCTGATGTCTGTACCCAGCCTGATGAACTGATCCAGCCTGATGATCCAATCATGCCAGGTGACTCGGTGCCCGCTGTCGAGCCAGATGACCTGATGCCTGGTGACCCGATGCCCGCTGTCGTACCTTATGACCCAATGCCAGCTGTCGAGCCAGATGACCTGATGCCTGGTGACCTTATGCCCGCTGTCGAGCCAGACGATCCAATGCCTGATGACCCGGTACCCGCAGTCGAGCCAGATGATCCAATGCCTGGTGACCTGATGCCCACTGTCGAACCAGATGACCCGGTACCCGCTGTCATGCCTGATGACCCGATGCCAGCTGTCGAGCCAGATGACCTGATGCCTGGTGACCCGATGCCCGCTGTCGAGCTTGACGACCCGATGCCCGCTGTTTTGCCAGATGACTCGTGCCTGCAGTGTTGCCAGATGACTCGGTGCCCGCTGTCTTGCCAGATGACTCGGTGCCCACTGTCTTGCCAGATGACTCGGCGCCCGCAGTCTTGCCAGATGACTCGGCGCCCGCTGTCTTGCCAGATGACTCGATGCCCGCTGTCTTGCCAGATGATTCGGCGCCCGCAGTCTTGCCAGATGACTCGGCGCCCGCAGTCTTGCCAGATGACTCGGCGCCCGCAGTCTTGGCAGATGACCCGGCGCCCACAGTCTTGCCAGATGACTCTCGCACCCGCAGTTTTGCCAGATGACTCGGCGCCCGCAGTCTTGCCAGATGACTCGGCGCCCGCTGTCTTGCCAGATGACTTGCCAGAGTCTTGCCAGATGACTCGACACCCGCAGTCTTGCCAGATGACTCGGCGCCTGCAGTCTTGCCAGATGACTTGGTGCCCGCTGTCGAGCTTAAAGCCCCGATGCCCGCTGTTGTGCCAGATGACTCGGCGCCCGCAGCCTTGCCAGATGACTCGGCGCCCACAGCCTTGCCAGATGACTCGGCGCCCGCAGCCTTGCCAGATGACTCGGCGCCCGCAGTCTTGCCAGATGACTTGGTGCCCGCTGTCGAGCTTAAAGCCCCGATGCCCGCTGTTGTGCCAGATGACTCGGCGCCCGCAGCCTTGCCAGATGACTCGGCGCCCGCAGCCTTGCCAGATGACTCGGCGCCCGCAGCCTTGCCAGATGACTCGGCGCCCGCAGCCTTGCCAGATGACTCGGCGCCCGCAGTCTTGCCAGATGACTCGGCGCCCGCAGTCTTGCCAGATGACTCGGCGCCCGCTGTCTTGCCAGATGACTCGATGCCCGCTGTCTTGCCAGATGACTCGGCGCCCGCAGTCTTGCCAGATGACTCGGCGCCCGCAGTCTTGCCAGATGACTCGGCGCCCGCAGTCTTGCCAGATGACCTCGCGCCCCAGTCTTGCCAGATGACTCGGCACCCGCAGTTTGCCAGATGACTCGGCGCCCGCAGTCTTGCCAGATGACTCGGCGCCCGCTGTCTTGCCAGGTGACTCGACACCCGCAGTCTTGCCAGATGACTCGGCGCCTGCAGTCTTGCCAGATGACTTGGTGCCCGCTGTCGAGCTTAAAGACCCGATGCCCGCTGTTGTGCCAGATGACTCGGCGCCCGCAGTCTTGCCAATGACTCGGCGCCCGCAGCCTTGCCAGATGACTCGGCGCCCGCAGCCTTGCCAGATGACTCGGCGCCCGCAGTCTTGCCAGATGACTTGGTGCCCGCAGTCTTGCCAAAGACCCGATGCCCGCTGTGTGTGCCAGATGACTCGGCGCCCGCAGCCTTGCCAGATGACTCGGCGCCCGCAGCCTTGCCAGATGACTCGGCGCCCGCAGTCTTGCCAGATGACTCGGCGCCCGCAGTCTTGCCAGATGACTCTCAGCGCGCCCGCTGTTTTGCCAGATGACTCGGCGCCCGCAGTCTTGCCAGATGACTCGGTGCCCGCTGTCGAGCTTGATGACCCGATGCCGGCCTGCTGTTTTGCCAGATGACTCGGTGCCCGCTGTCTTGCCAGATGACTCGGCTTCCGCAGACTTGCCAGATGACTCAGCGCCCGCAGTCTTGCCAGATGACTCGGTGCCCGCTGACGAGCTTAAAGCCCCGATCCCTGCTGTTGTGCCAGATGACTCGGCGCCCGCAGTCTTGCCAGATGACTCGGCGCCCGTAGTCTTGCCAGATGACTCGGCGCCCGCAGTCTTGCCAGATGACTCGGCGCCCGCAGTCTTGCCAGATGACTCGGCGCCCGCTGTTTTGCCAGATGACTCGGCGCCCGCTGTCAAGCCAGATGACTCGGAGCCCGCTGTCGAGCTTGACGACCCGATGCCCGCAGTGTTTTGCCAGATGACTCGGTGCCCGCTGTCTTGCCAGATGACTCGGCGCCCGCAGTCTTGCCAGATGACTCGATGCCCGCTGTCTTGCCAGATGACTCGATGCTCGCTGTTGAGCTTAAAGCCCCGATGCCCGCTGTTTGTGCCAGATGACTCGGCGCCCGCAGCCTTGCCAGATGACTCAGCGCCCGCAGCCTTGCCAGATGACTCGGCGCCCGCAGTCTTGCCAGATGACTCGGCGCCCGCTGTCTTGCCAGATGACTCGGTGCCCGCTGTCGAGCTTGATGACCCGATGCCTGCTGTTTTGCCAGATGACTCGTGCCCGCTGTCTTGCCAGATGACTCGGCTTCCCGCAGTCTTGCCAGATGACTCGGCGCCCGCAGTCTTGCCAGATGACTCGGTGCCCGCTGTCGAGCTTAAAGCCCGATGCCTGCTGTTGTGCCAGATGACTCGGCGCCCGCAGTCTTGCCAGATGACTCGGCGCCCGTAGTCTTGCCAGATGACTCGGCGCCCGCAGTCTTGCCAGATGACTCGGCGCCCGCTGTTTTGCCAGATGAATGACTCGGCACCCGCTGTCTTGCCAGATGACTCGGTGCCCGCTGTCGAGCTTGACGACCCGATGCCCGCAGTTTTGCCAGATGACTCGGTGCCCGCTGTCTTGCCAGATGACTCGGCACCCGCAGTCTTGCCAGGTGACTCGGCGCCCGCAGTCTTGCCAGGTGACTCGATGCCCGCTGTCTTGCCAGATGACTCGGCGCCCGCAGTCTTGCCAGATGACTCGGCGCCCGCAGTCTTGCCAGATGACCGGCGCCCGCAGTCTTGCCAGATGACTCGGCGCCCGCAGTCTTGCCAGATGACTCGGCGCCCGCAGTCTTGCCAGATGACTTGGCGCCCGCTGTTTTGCCAGATGACTCGGCGCCCGCTGTCTTGCCAGATGACTCGGTGCCCGCAGTCGAGCTTGACGACCCGATGCCCGCTGTTTTGCCAGATGACTCGGTGCCCGCTGTCTTGCCAGATGACTCGGCGCCCGCAGTCTTGCCAGATGACTCGATGCCCGCTGTCTTGCCAGATGACTCGTGCCCACTGTCTTGCCAGATGAGTCGGTGCCCGCTGTCTTGCCAGATGACTCGGCGCCCGCAGTCTTACCAGTTGACCCGGTGCCCGCTGTCTTGCCAGATGACTCGGTGCCCGCTGTCTTGCCAGATGACTCGGCACCCGCAGTCTTGCCAGATGACTCGATGCCCGCTGTCTTGCCAGATGACTCGGCGCCGCAGTCTTGCCAGATGACTCGGCGCCCGCAGTCTTGCCAGATGACTCTTGCCCGCTGTCTTGCCAGATGAGTCGATGCCCGCTGTCTTGCCAGATGACTCGGTGCCCGCTGTCTTGCCAGATGACTCGGCGCCCGCAGTCTTGCCAGATGACCCGGTGCCCGCTGTCTTGCCAGATGACTCGGTGCCCGCTGTCTTGCCAGATGACTCGGCACCCGCAGTCTTGCCAGATGACTCGATGCCCGCTGTCTTGCCAGATGACTCGGCGCTCGCAGTCTTGCCAGATGACTCGGCGCCCGCAGTCTTGCCAGATGACTCGGTGCCCGCTGTCGAGCTTAAATCCCCGATGCCCGCTGTTGTGCCAGATGATGCCCGCTCAGATGACTCGGCCCGCAGTCTTGCCAGATGACTCGGCGCCCGCAGTCTTGCCAGATGACTCGGCGCCCGCAGTCTTGCCAGATGACTCGGCGCCCGCTGTTTTGCCAGATGACTCGGTGCCCGCTGTCTTGCCAGATGACTCGGTGCCCGCTGTTTGCCAGATGACCCGATGCCCGCTGTTTTGCCAGATGACTCGGCGCCCGCAGTCTTGCCAGATGACTCGGCGCCCGCAGTCTTGCCAGATGACTCGGCGCCCGCAGTCTTGCCAGATGACTCGGCGCCCGCAGTCTTGCCAGATGACTCGGCGCCCGCAGTCTTGCCAGATGACCCGGCGCCCGCAGTCTTGCCAGATGACTCGGCGCCCGCAGTCTTGCCAGATGACTCGGCGCCCGCAGTCTTTGCCAGATGACTCGATGCTCCCCTTGCTTAAAGACCCCGATGCCCGCTGTTTGCCAGATGACTCGGCGCCCGCAGCCTTGCCAGATGACTCAGCGCCCGCAGCCTTGCCAGATGACTCGGCGCCCGCAGTCTTGCCAGATGACTCGGCGCCCGCTGTCTTGCCAGATGACTCGGTGCCCGCTGTCGAGCTTGATGACCGATGCCTGCTGTGTTTTGCCAGATGACTCGGTGCCCGCTGTCTTGCCAGATGACTCGGCGCCCGCAGTCTTGCCAGATGACTCGGCGCCCGCAGTCTTGCCAGATGACCCGCGGCCCGCAGTCTTGCCAGATGACCCGGCGCCCGCAGTCTTGCCAGATGACTCGGCGCCCGCAGTCTTGCCAGATGACTCGGCGCCCGCAGTCTTGCCAGATGACTCGGCGCCCGCAGTCTTGCCAGATGACTCGGCGCTCGCAGTCTTGCCAGATGACTCGGCCCGCGCAGTCTTGCCAGATGACCCGGCGCCCGCAGTCTTGCCAGATGACTCGGCGCCCGCAGTCTTGCCAGATGACTCGGCGCCCGCAGTCTTGCCAGATGACTTGGCGCCCGCTGTTTTGCCAGATGACTCGGCGCCCGCTGTCTTGCCAGATGACTCGGTGCCCGCAGTCGAGCCAGATGACGTGCCCGATGCCCGCTGTTTTGCCAGATGACTCGGTGCCCGCTGTCTTGCCAGATGACTCGGCGCCCGCAGTCTTGCCAGATGACTCGATGCCCGCTGTCTTGCCAGATGACTCGATGCCCGCTGTCTTGCCAGATGACTCGGTGCCCGCTGTCTTGCCAGATGACTCGGCGCCCGCAGTCTTGCCAGATGACTCGGCGCCCGCTGTCTTGCCAGATGACTCGGTGCCCGCTGTCTTGCCAGATGACTCGGGTGCCCGCAGTCTTGCCAGATGACTCGATGCCCGCTGTCTTGCCAGATGACTCGGCGCCCGCAGTCTTGCCAGATGACTCGGCGCGCCCGCAGTCTTGCCAGATGACTCGGTGCCCTCGGTGCCCAACGTCTTAAAGATCCCCGATGAGCTTGCCAGATGACTGCCCGCTGTCTTGCCAGATGACTCGGTGCCCGCAGTCTTGCCAGATGACTCGGCGCCCGCAGTCTTGCCAGATGACTCGGCGCCCGCAGTCTTGCCAGATGACTCGGCGCCCGCTGTCTTGCCAGATGACTCGGCGCCCGCTGTCTTGCCAGATGACTCGGTGCCCGGTGTTTTGCTTGA